CTGGTTCATATTTACGGCTGTTGCTGTGTCCAAAGGTCATGTGATTGCCCTTTACGAACTTCTGACAAGCACAGTCGATGAGGAAGCCAGATTCACTTAATAACCAGATTACTAACTTATCAACTTTAGTGATTCACTTAACAGCTGTGGCAAGAATGGTCATAAAATGGGCAAAACTCACTTAGCAAATGTCTCACTTAGCAACAGAAATGTTGGGCTTGATTGTGGTCATAAGTTGAGGACCACTCGTATTCTCCTTTATCTGTATTATACTTTTTTAAAAATTTAACAACTTTCTGGCATCTGTTTTATTTGTGAAGCAATTATTGCCTTCTGCCAGGAAAGATGTCCATTGGTTTTTGCTTATTCAATTGCAAGCAAGAAAGAGTGTGATTAATTTCCTCACAAAGAGAGGACTGCAATAAAAGAACACAGTACAATTATCTATAAAAAAATAAAAAGGAAAAAATGAAATAGGAAAGCAAGCCCAAGCAATAACTATTTTTAAAAAAAATCTATGAAAGCAAGATACATTATATACAGTAAATGACTAATAAATTGCTGTGGGAAATTCCATAAATACATAATGTCCCATTTTAGATATGTTGATCTCCCCCCCCCCACACCAATATTTTCATTTCTACAGAGAGCACTATACCTGATGACTTGTTTACCTAACTTTAAATTCCAGATTTAATAATTTTAAGTTGTCCTCATATTTTCTATCAAATCAAGAACAGCATTTCAGTTCAAATGAACTGGGGGACACTCCGCCCCACTTTATTTATTTATTTTTAATTAAAAGTTTCTTTATTAAACAAATAAAGACAAAGACAAACAAATCTTACAATAAAAAAGTTGAATGTGCCCCACTTCAGATGCCACTAGTAGCATGAAACTGACCTGTTTTCAAATGTTATGTTAAAAATAGAAACATTATCAGCTGAATTGGTAGATTCCCATCAGCAGGGAAAGAATAGCCCTGTATTTTTTTTAAATATAAATGTCTTCTCACCTGTTTATTTTCCTTATTTGGGTTGCTATGGATAACACTCACCTGTCTCACAGTAAGGATCACCATCTTCCAAATGGAAAATATTGTTGCGAATGGGCTTGTGACAGGCCACACACACAAAGCAGGAGACATGCCAGCTTTGTTTCAAAGCATTTATTACTTCCTAGCATAGAAAGCAAAGCAAAGCAAAGCAAAACACACAAACAGGATTTATGTGTGAGTACTTGAATATTTGAATTAGATAGCTTTTTCTGTATATTTTTGGAACAGCATAAAAGCATAAAAATTGGGAAATACATGCTTTGAGCATTGATGTTATCAACTCTACAGCTACTATTCAAGGAAAAGCTAAGAACTGAAAATCCGATAGAAGGATGAGTCCTAGACACCTTGTGCTTTAAATACCAAAACATTCATTGACGGTATTTTAGAAATTGAGACCTTTTTAAATGCTGGAAAGGCTTTCCACTTGACATTGAAAGATACATTTCAAAAATTATCCCCTCCTCAACTTCTGAGGATAATCATAATGAGTCTATTCACCTCTTCTTAAAAGAGCTGAAGCTAAAACTTTGGCTTTCACATCCAGTGTAGCCTTTCCCAAACTACATAGCATTAGCAATATATACTTAGACTTATACATTGTCCCACAGTGCTTTACAACACTCTCTGGGTGGCTTACAACATCAGGGTATTGCCCCCATCAACCTGAGTCCTCATTTTACCAACCTTGGAAGGATGGAAGGCTGAGTCAATCATGGGCTGGTCAGGATCAAACTTCTGGCAGTGGGCAGAATTAGCCTGCAATACTGCATTCTAATCACTGGGTCATCACAGCTCCTCTGATAAAGTTACTCTCAAACTCAACTCCTTGTGGCTCTACAGATACATCTATGCAGTTTTCCTGTCAGTATTATCATAGTAGTTTTGTGATTGCCTCCTTCAACGATGTTTTTCTATTTTCCAGACTTATCCATTGCTCTGGAATTCCTGGTGTTTTCCATTCAAGTATTAACCAGATCCAGGTTGCTTCCAATCCCAGAGAACAGTAGCCAGGTGCTGAGACTGGGATTAAGATACAATAGGATATTCTGGAAAGAGAAAACACTAGAGAAAGGCAATGCACAACTCTAAAGATAATTCTAATTTTGAAACCGAGATTAAGGAATTATTTTATTGCTCCTGCATCAATATTTACAGAAACAGCTAGTTTGAGTATGTGAGTTATCTACTCTATAATGTTAATTACAAATTGACATCTTACTTACTCCAAGTATCTTCCTCTGACATCGGGCACATTCTGGGGCAAAGAACTTCTCATAGCAACCCTCGCAGTAAAATGCTCCCTTCTCTTCCACAAAACCAATATAAGCCATGGAAGTTTTGCAATGAGCACAATTGAACTCTTCAGGGTGCCAGGACTTCCCCAATGCTACGAGGAAAGGCCCTCTGTTTCAAATAAAAATGAACATTAATTTTAAACTCCATGTTTAATAAAATGCAATCGAACATCTACTTTCTATCTTCTTTCAGCAGGCAGAAGGCAAAATTTATTGCTAAAGAGAAAAAAAACTTCTACTGGATTTTTTTTAAATATCGAGGTACAACTAACTCCATTAACAAGCACTTGTCTTGGTATCATTCAAAGTAAGCAATTAATGGATATTTTCACCTCTTAAAAGACAAATTCTGAAAAAAAGCACAGCATCTAAAAACAAACCCAGTTTTGGCACATAAGATCCTGAAGACCCAAAAGTGATGTAAGAGATATTTGAAGTACACTATATATTATCCAAGAATGGAATAAATACGGATTTCACAATGTGCTTCACCTTGGAATGGAATAGCTTATGCTTTAATATAATTAAAATGAAACATTTTATTCCCCCCCCCAAAAAAATGCTTCTAGAATAAGGTAGACCTTTCTAATTCTATCAAGATACATCTAGACATGTGATAGAAAATTCTTATACTCTGATATGTTCACCATAAGGTTTGAATGTATTGTTTTTGTTTAGTTCCTCTAAACCAAAAAGCAAAATTAAATCAACCAAAGTGAAAATGCCATCACTCTGCTAAACCAAATGCCATCACTCTGCTAAACAACTAATTCCCATAACACTATCAAACTATTTACGAAGACTGTATTACTATTATTCTTCTCATCCTTCCTATTACCTATCTGCTCCCATTTATGACAATAACCTTGTTGCTTCTATCTCTACGATTTATATTGTTTTATTTAGTAACCTATGACTATCACTAAGTGTTGTATCTTACGATTCTCGATGAATGTATTTTTTTTCTTTTTATGTACATTGACAGCATATGCACCAAAGACAAATTCCTTGTATGTTGAATCACATTTGGCCAATAAAGAATTTTATTCTATTCCTCTTCTATCCTGTTCTGTTCTAAAAATTTCAAAAAAAAAGAATGCATGCCATTTCATCTGTAGAACTATATTCTGCCTATGTATAAAACACAGGTTAATTATTTCTCAAATATTACAAAGCAGTGTTTCCCCCCATGTTTGAACCTTTAAAAATCATTTGAAAAATACAGACACTTGAATTCTACAGGTAACCTTGTTGCTCTGTGATTATCTGAACAACTGGTCCTGCTCGATACCCTCTAACCTCTGTACAGGCACCTTTTAACATCAATGCTCTTTCAGCTATGTAGAAATCCAATTTAAGTCCTTATGTATAACAAACTGCTCTCTTCTCACAGCACAGGCTAATTTATGAGGCTCATTAGAAAACACCAAGTCTGAGTAGGACTTCTGGCCCTACTTAGGATCAAGTTTCCAATTGTCTGCACTAAAAGTACAGTCTTGGAAGAAAACATAATAGGAACTCGGAAGGACGACTAAGTATTTTGATACCACCAGCTACATTTAGCAGAGAATATTTGAACTTGGTGTGCTTTAATTTTCTTCAGCCATTTCAGAATCTTAATATTTTGAAGCTTATACCTGAAGAGGAGTAAAGCTCCAGTGTGGAAAAAGCAAATTATTATTTCCAGTATTTCAAATTTTGAATGAATCAATAAATTCTGCAGCTGAGACTACCATTGAGGAAGTGAACATAGAATTTTTTTCAATGATTTTATTGTAAATATTGTGCATGAACTCAGTGGAAATCACACGTGGGCAAGAAAACATAGTATAGTTGACAGAAAAGCATCAACTAGATTTATATTCCAAGCAAAGATGGACAGCATCAGCAGTAATCCTTTTAAATATGAAATTTATGTAAATCAAGTCAACGTTCTGTTTCATGAATGAAAATATTTGGATGAAATGCATAAATGCATAGCTTTTTTGTAGTCTGAGGTAGCCAACTATGACTACGTCAATGGAAAGTAAAATATTGAGTTAAGTCACGGATGTGCTTCCATAGCTGGGAAAAAATTCTTCTGTAGAGGTCATCTGCTGGAACTGTTAATATTTATGCAAGACAATGAGTGAAAAGGTATATATAGAAAATCCATATTCTTTGGAAAACGGTTGCTTAAATTGGTGTTTTTTATACTATTAAGTAAGCAAATGTCTATGAAGATTTTCAGTCCTCCAGGTCATGGTTGTCCCAAAGGTGCTTTTTCAAGAGGCAACTGGTCTTTCTGGTTTTTCTTTGAAGACATTTCGCTTCTCATCCAAGAAGCTTCTTCAGTTCTCTCTCTCACTCTCTCTCAGAGCTGAAGAAGCTTCTTGGATGAGAAGCGAAACATATTCAAAGAAAAGCCAGAAAGTCCAGTTGTCTCTTGAAAAAGCACTTTTGGGACTATTAAGTAAGTACAAAGTAGCTGATCTATTACCAGAAGCTGTCATGATTTTAAAGGTTCATGAAGGCATGATAAAAATGCAACTTTATCTTAAGTATATTTTCCCAAGAGTTTTCCATTTCTTTTGACAGTTAAATTGCACTTTAATTTCTCATTTATCATGAAGAAAATTTCTTTAGTTAGGGAGAAAAAGAATTTAAAGAAATTCATACTTTTTTTTAAAAAAAAAATCCCTTTCATGTAAATGATGCAGAAATATATCAATACCAAGATTCTAAGTTGACAAGTTTAATTATTTAATTCAATGATATTCTGAGACTTTTCAGCTGTTGCACATAGCAATCTATTAGAATTTTACTACAAACATTTCAGATATAATACACAGGAAAAACCAGATCTAGATATTGCAAAATAGAACGAGAGCCTGTAATAAGATTGCAAAAAAGTGTGGTAACTTTTAGATAAATGTATCAATAATTTAAGGATATTAATTAAAAAGTTATAAGATACTCTATCTTAAATTTGGGGGACTTGTACATCATGGTTATTTCATGCATTAGTGTAAAGTAACCAGGTGTACAATGCGTTTGGCTGCAACACAGGTGTGCTGTGGAATGTCACTTGATCCAGTTCTTACCTTTTCGCAGGTAATACTGCCTCAAAGGACATGAACTGTAATTATACTAAAACCTGAACCCCAAAAGCTGAAGGCTATCATAAGCTTCCCAAAGTATTGTACTGCAGCAGTAGGGAAACAACATGATATAATCTTTATAAGAATGCCAGGTGATTCTATATAACCTTCTTACTTGTCTTTTCTTTTACTTTCTGACCCTGTGTGAACATCCACTTCTAATAATATGCCCATATAAGCCATAAGCTTGATATTATACCAATCAATACTCAATAAAACAATTCTGGATTCGATGATTGAGACAATTATGATAACCAGTAAGAATTCACATGCTTGCACAATTTTTAGTGGACCAAAATGGATACTTCTTCAGCTTTCTGTTATGTTCCAAATGGAAGCATGTATTCATTTTACTGACCATATTGTATGAACCTTATTAAGTAGCATTTATTTGTTGTATTATGAAATCAGTATGTTCAAGAGTTCAACTCAAGAATAGCACTGAAGTAGTTTCAATCAATGAGTTACAATTACTCATATACAAGTTCCTTGTAGAATAAGAGGTGCCGTCAACAATCATGTATATAGAAAATAGTACCAACCTGATGACTTGATTGCACTGAGCACACATTGGAGTCCGCTTGCCTGCTGGAATATGCTCTGCTCTCTGAACCAAAGTATCTTCATTGGTTTGCAGAGGTGCAGCTGCAGCTTTCTCACCAGAGGTTGTATTATTGTTGGAAATCCATCCACTTCCAGCTGCCATGAATCGAAATGGGACAAAACTGAGCTTACAAGGAGAAATGCTAGCAACCCCAATGTTTTAGTATATAAATGCAGAAAGAAATATATTGATATAAATAAGTATGCAATCATTAGGGATATATCTAGCATTCAAACGATTTGCTTCACTTAGCACCTGTGAGCATCTTTGAGTGATGAATTCAAGCACATCTTTTGCAAGACTTTTGTGACCATTTTTAAAGTTGTTTCTGGTTGCTTCTGCATATGCATGAATGCCCTTTATGGAACAGAGATGCTTTCAAAACGACAAACCAAGAGATGCAAATAAACTGTGATGTGCTTGATTCACAATCTCTCAGGTTAAAAAGAACCTCAAATCCTTGGCAGAGAGATAATGCTGAAACGCTTATTTTCATGACTGTGATATAAATTATTCCTTGACAGGAATTCCTTGTTTCCTATGAGGGTTCTCACCCCATACCTGGACTTGAGACCAGACTATCATGTATCCGGGTTATCTGTATCCTCTAAGACCCTCTGTATTTTATAATTAACATAATTTAAACATTCATTCTTTGGTTCTCTAGAATCTCATGTCCAAGACGTACATGACATAATCATAAGAAAAAAAGGAAATTAAAAAAAAAATAAGATTCAAGACTGAACATATTCTTTGGAATATAACTGAACTTTTTTTAAAAAAAAAGTATATAAAGACTACATTTCTGAATGGAGTTTAAAGTCTAGTTGTATTGCAAAAATGTCCTTCAAAATGGACAAAGGAATTCATTTTTTAAAAAAAAAAACTGTAATTGGTAAGAGATTTCTAGCATATTAAAGTATTCTAGTAAATCTGCATTACTTTGACTTTAAAGGCTAACTCCCATTAAACAGTTTATCCAGAATTGTCTAATTCTAATTCTAGAAAGGCTTATTAAATAAACTTTATTCTATCTCAGCTGGACAATTACATGAAGCAAATAAGAAAATGTATTCATTAGCAGGCAAAGAACTAATCATACTTTTCCCTTTGTAGTACACTAAAAAGAAATCCTAAGTGGTGGGATATTTGAAATATGCATCAGAAATAAATTCCTTCAAAGAGGATCTTCACATAAGGATTGTGTACTTTGAAAATAGTGCTTTTACCCTTGGGAACATCCCAGTGAATTTTAAAAAATCCACACAACATTGCATGCAGCTAAAAGGGAAATTAAAGAACAAGCAACAAAGGATTTCAACAAAAAAAGCAGGGTAAAAGTCAACCATGTCTGAAATGCTGAATTACTGGCAGATAACCATAACATACAAGAGGGTTAATAAATGAACATAATACAAAAATAATTCAAAGTAAAGAACATCAGTAGAAGTAGAAATACTTTGTATGCAAAAGAAGTCCAAGTCCAGACTTTCTCATCTCTACAGAGGATCTGGAAAAAATATCTTATTGGGAACACTACATAACTACTGCTAGCTAGTACAAAGAAATAAAGTAAAGCGAATGTAAAGGAGTCCCTGCGGGTTTTACTCTGCTAGACATTGCCGACTGTAGCGGGGTGGTTTACTTAGTTTCAAGGCCATTGAGCCGCACAGTCTGAAGACATTTCCATAGTAATCATGGAGTATTGTTAACTAAGCCTTTCATGGCTTGGGACCAAGTTATCTGACGGACCGTATTTGCCAGTCACATCTACCAGACCCATCAGAGCTGGGAGATAGGGAACACTGCGGGTCTCATCCCCTAGAGAGATACACCGGATAAGACCTAGAAAAGGGGCCTTCTCCATGGTGGCTCCCTGTCTTTGGAACATCATTTCCCCAGAGATTAAAATGGCTCCCACTCTCTTCCAGAAGGCGCTGAAGACCTGACGCTGCCAGTTGGCCTGGGGAACCCAAAGCAAGATGGAGCCCCATTAAATGGCTCGTGTGATCTGCTGTTGCCAGGGTGGGGGGTGGGGGTGATTCTATATTATTTGATTCTTTTTTATTAGTTTTGTTTTAAATGAGGTTTTATATTCTGTAAGCCGCCATGAGTCACCATGTGCAAATAGGCAGCAATAAAAATGAATTAAATAAATAAATAAATAAATAAATAAATAAATAAATAATAATAATAAAAAAAAACTTCCCTCCAAAATACTCGCATTTCCATGCTTTCAAACTGCTAGGTAGGCAGGAGTTGGAGAAAGGACGGGAACTCACCCCATCATGTGGCACTCGGGTCTAGAGCATGAGCTGCCAGCTTTCCAGCTGATGAGCTCAGCATCTTAACCATGGAGCCATCAAGTGCCACCCAAGCCCCCCCCCCCAAAAAAAAGATAACACCAATTAGCAGGGGCGGGATTGAAATTTTTTAACAACCGGTTCTGTGGGTGTGGCTTATTTGGTGGTCATGGCTTGGTGGTCATGTGACTAGGTAGACGTGGCTTATTGGTCATGTTATTGGCTGGGTGTGGCCAACTCAATATCCCTCACATCGAGGCATGCATCTCCTCGCCTGGCTTCTCATGACTGTGGGGATGCTGCAACAGTCATAAGTTTGAAAAATGATCATGTCACTTTTTTCAGTGCCATTGTAACGTTGAATGGTCACTCCACACAAGCAAAGTACCAGCAAAGGAGAGGAAAAAAAACTCCAGAGACGTTCCTGAGACAGGAAATCTAATCCTGCCAAGAATGTAACAAGGGTTAATGGAGAGGCAGTTTCTGTAAGCAACTCCAGAATGTTTCCTTCCTGCCTTCCTTACAGGATTAGGCCAGTAATTTCTTTTAACAACTGGTTCTCCGAACTGCTTAGAATGTTAACAACTGGTTCTAGCGAATAGGTACAAACTGGTAGAATCCCACCCCTGCTAATTAGGTGTCCTAAATTCTTAAGTGTGTTATTTGCTTTTCAATTTTTCTGACAGGCCCTTGTAGTAAGTAGCATTAACTTTACAGCCATATCTGAACAGAGGTTCAACACAAACAGCCCCTATCTTATTCTACCAGACCACCCCTTATTTTTTGTCCTACAGTCCCTATTTTGCATCTTTTCTTTTAGAAATAATGCAAAAACAGCTCCGTTTTCTGCCATAATAAATATCTTGGCATGCTTTTAATTCTGCCTATAGTCAAATTCATTAACGTGTACTTATCAAAGGCAGTTTAGTCACACACCTTTTCTGCCTGATTAAACTTCAAAGTCTAACAAACTGTTGAAGTTAAGAGATAAGACTGGCACCTTCTAAAATCTTTTCAGCCCTAAAGTGACAACAGTCGATAATTTTCTTTCAACCTCTTTTCACTAAAGTGTGATAAACACCTGTAGATATTTATGATGCAGCATCAGGATAACCTTCTCCCGACAAATAAATAACGACAGTAAAAGAAATAGGAAAGGTTTCTAGAGAAATGGGTACAATAAATAAGTAATTGGTCAGCTTTTCACTATAAAGAAATGCCATATTCTTTAAAATCGGCTCTTTTCTGTCTCTGAGGCATTCCATTGTGACCCAGTGATTACAGTAATTTATTTTGAACTATAAATGCTCTTCAGGTCTACTAATAAACACCAGATAAAAGGGGAGCAAGAAAAATAATGTTGAAGAGTGCTGTTGTTTCTGACAAATGGCACTTTTGAACATTACCTTTGAGAGTTTACCGCTTCATTTTCAACTTCCAGCAAACAGGAAAATTGTCAGAGCATTTTCTTGAGATTACTGAAGCAACTGTGTAATTATGGATTTTTCCTGATTATAACACTCCAGGTAGCAGTCTAATGCATTTGCTGAGAATTTTCATTGTGTTTGAAAAGTTCTCTTTTAAAAGGTTGCACTTATCCAACTTAGATTTTTATAGGAGCAGAGTGTTGCTACTCGGGTAACATTAAACACCTAGGAGAACCTCTGGGACCTCATTTTCTTCGTATATTCCAGGTAAAACCTGGAAATGATTATGGACGATGACACTGAACTTTTGATGAGCTGTATCCCCTCTGCGATTCTCCAATCCCTTTTAAAACTTCTTTGTCTTGATCCTGGCCCAACACTTCCAATTAAAATGTACAATTTCCATTAATTAGCACTGTTTCAATTGCTGGATTGTTGCAGCGTCTGGAATTATGAACAATTCAGAGGCGATGGACAGAGATAGACAGGCATGATTTGGGAGGCATGAGACTCATTAATAGCCCACAAAAGTCACACTTTGTCTGCTGTGATTTTGTTCCCCCAATTAGGTTAGAAATAAAAACATGTTATTGCACATCATTTTCGTGAAAGTCAATAATGAATTCTGAACTGCACTTGGGAAGCGAAGCATTAAATAAAAATGTGAATTCATAATGTATTACAGCTGGTGTCAAATATTTTGTTCTAAAGGAAAAATGTCCTTGTCTTTATCATTAACATGAAAAGGGTGGAAAGTTACCAGCACAGCTAGTCCTCGACTTACAATCACAATTGAGCCTAAAATTTCTATTGCTAGGCAAGTCAGGTAAGTGTTAAGTGAGTTTTGCCTGAATTTTTACAACCTTTTTTACCAAGTGAATCACTGCAGTTGCTAAGTTAGTAACATGATTTAAAATGAATCTGGTTTCCCCCTTTGCTTGTCAGAAGGTCGCAAAAGGGGACCATATAACCCTGGGACACTGCAACCGTCATAAATACAGTTGCCAAGTGCCCACGATTTGATCAAATGACCATGGGGATGCTACAACAGTCATAAGTGTGAAAAATGGATTTTACAATAGCACTGAAAAAAAAATATCATTGTTCTGGTAGGTTACTGGCAAGCTGAAGAGGACAATATTTGAAATGTATGCAAGCAGCAATACATACATGCATTCCCGTATATTTCATGGGAAGATTAATCTTAGAACATATTCCAGAGCCTTGGTGGCATAGTGGTTAGAGTGCAGTACTGTAGGCCACTTCTGCTGACTATCAACTGCCTGCAATTTGGCAGTTCAAATCCCACCAGCCTTCCGTCCTTCCAAGGTGGGTAAAATGAGGACCCAGATTGTTGGGGGCAAT